ACCGCAGGCTGGATGTCAAGATCATGCATCAGATAACAACGCCATCTGCGCCATCTGCCGAGGCTCCGGATACCAATTATTTGTCTTCTCCCATGCGATTAACTATGAGACGCTCCATGTTTTAATTGCATTTCGCACCACGCACACCGAGATTGACACCTGCTCCCACGAACTATTGTTTCATTCATTGTTTTCCTAGTCATGTCTACATGGTTTCATTTCACCGCCTGTTAGATGCCATCGCTCCCATACTGTGTAACATGTCCAGGTGTCACACCACATGCCGACTTGAGTCATTCTCCAGTCACAGGGAGACATCTCCTCTTGTTATTCCTTTGATCCCACATTTGTCCCGAGACACATTACCCCACCACCCTCTATGCGATGTACAGCGAACCAATCGCACACACTTATTGGACCCATTAAAAGAGCCTTGGGAGTCCACTCGCATACTTTGCATTGTGTGATCCAGTTGTACGGTGGTAATTGAGGCAATTTGCCTCCTTTCTATCCCTTGTAAGAACCCAGTTGTTTTGAGACTGAGCGGGTACTCTGGAGGCATGCCCATATTGTACTTAATTTCTATTTTAATAGTACCGTAGTTAGCGTCTCGGCTTCCTTTCTTGGTTGGACTGGAAGTTTTATGCGTTACTAGAGCCCCAAGTGGATTTGTCGTTTACAATTATGATCATTTCTGTCGCAAAGTTGCAGATGAAAATAGATATGGGATGATTCCGGCGAACCCCACTTGTAGTGGGGAACTCAAGGGGCAGCATTCCGTATGTTCTTACTCTCTTTGGGAGGGACTGCATACTGGAAAGGAATTTAGCTGGCACGTTCTTCACGGATTGCAGTGCCACGAGCTGCCACGGTCAACAGAGTCAAAGAAAACCACCATTGCCGGTCTTCCTTAATTGTGTTTCTGTTCTTTGACTTGGCGAAGAGTAAATAGGTGGTCGATGCAACCACGACCATAGCAAAAGCCAGCCTGGCTTTCAGTGATTCGTTTCTCACGGGGACCAGTAAGTTATCAGAGAATCATACCTGTGAGAAGTTTGGAGACAATGGAAATAAAACTAATGCCTCGATGATTTTTCACATAATGCGTTGGTCATTCTGGAGGATGGACACGACAGTTGATAGTCTCCAGTCTGAAGGCATTTCTTCCGTCTTCTAAGCCGTGTAAAATAGAGCAGCAAGTCCAGTCGACAAAGAGCCAATTCGATCGTACAACATAGATGGGAAAGGTGGTCGGGTTTGGGAGCCTTGTTTCGTTTCAACACGGAGAGCTCACTTGGAATCTCTCCCAAAGTGAGAGGTGTGACATCTATTTCCCACCTCTGCTCAGGGGATTCGGCAAGCGGCTGTGTCGCAGCAGACTTGCTGAACTATTCTTCAAAATGTTCCGCCTAACGGGCTAATCAACAAGGCGGAGAATGAATCAACTGTCCACCTTCCTCAGCTATTGTCTCGCTAACGGATGGCTCTCTCGGACCCGTGTTCCGGATGAGCTGAAGTAGCACTTTCTCCATCGCTCACTAACGTTCCTGGTCAATTCGGAGACTTCTTGCCAGACGTCGTTTCAGGGAGTCACCAACACGTTAAAACTCATTGCCCATTGGGACCCGTTTACGCGCTTCGATTAAACTGATCGATGCTTCAGAGGTCCATTCAGAGTTACGACGTCTCAAGTTAGTTGCATAGCAAGTGTCAAAAGCATTTCTCATGACTCACCTGAAACGAGTCCACAGCGTTTGACTTACCAACCTCACTCATCGCTGACAACTGTTAAGTCAGTTCGCCAATGTTGTTCTCTACCCCGTTGTCTACACAGTTTTTGGTTAGAATCGATCCCAACTGACTGTGTGCTCTCAGCCTTTTACCGAGTGGAAGTTTTGCATGGAAACCAGCTAGCAAACGCTGCTTTTACCGATGACATCGCTCGCTTCGGTCCAGACCAGGCGGCTGATTCTTCAAACTTTACACCGGTAAGGTGCAGACGACTGTTTCAGGGTTGAGGCAGCGCGCAATTGCTTCAACTACCAAAGTACAGCTACTTTAAGTGTTATATCGGTTCATTTATTTTGGTAATTAGGTCACCTCCGGTGATCGCAGCACAGTGTAGGTTACCTCACTTCCCAACAAATCCTGTATGGCTTTTCAGAGTCTCAGTCATTCATGGAGGCCTTGTATCAGTCTATCAATCAAAGGTAGGTAAAGCACCGCCACAACGCCGATATTACGGCATTTGTCAGAAACACGACAACCGCCCTGAATGCATCAAGAAGTTGATCGTCTTTTGTCCTCGGTGCTTACGGAATGTTGCTTATAACTGTTGGGAACACGATGTAATGCAAACTTGGAAATCGACCCATGGACTTCATCGAGCTTGTGCATGCCGTTTTCGCAGATGGGGGCCTCGGGATGGTCCACATCGTGAGTTGGAAACCTTATTGGACATAACTCATTCGCGCAGTCCGTGGCACTACTGCATTCGGTTTCTTGCATTTGGCTGTTCGTATCCCATATTGCATAATTTTACCCAATCCTTTTTCATTCATATGTCCGCATTTTGTTTGCGTCTCCTCTGATTTTTCTCATCATTTGTAAACTTTGTTATCCCGACGATGAGTTGTGGGAACTACATCCGCCGCTCTAAGGCTCCAAGTTCATACTTTTTAACTGAACTGAACACATCCTGGTCCAGTAATCGAGGGCAATAAGCATTGGTCAGCACAAGGCTAAAGTAGGTGATCACCATAATGTGTAATATAAGTAAGTCATATCGTCCATTAGGCTCACGTCCATCGTCCTCAAGTCTGCCAACGGGCACAGTTGCCCCTTGCTTGCGGAGTATTGCTCGCGTCTGGTTGGAACACCGGGTGACTAATGCTGAGGTCCGCCAGATGGTTTTCGTCAGAAAGCCTTCTGGTGCCTCACTCGAGTGTTTTCTAAACCTTAGTCGCTTGTATTGGCTAGGCCATGTCCTCCGGATGCCCGTTGATCGGCTTGCTCGGCGTGCATTATACCTCGTGGTTGCACCAAATTGGGTGAAACCTCGAGGTCGCCAGTCTGTGACTTGTCATCGAGGTATAAAGAAATTGTTTGGGATACTTGATCAAGCTGGTGCGTGCCGTGTTCCTGGATGGCAGCCTCGGAACGGTCCACACCAGTTGTTGGAGACCGTGCCAGACATGACGCAGTCACGTAGTTAGTGGCGTTCCTACATTCGGTTTCTTTCATCTGGTTGTTAGTTTTCATTCCATTCTGATTAGTCTAACGCATTTCCTCCCCGCTTCTATTTTTTCTACATTCTGTTCGCACCAAAACCCACTGTTCTGCAGTTGTTATTTATTGTTGTTCTTACCGTGTGAGTCGTGGCAACTGGATCCACTGCACTTCGATGCTCGGATCATAATTGTTCAACTGAACTGAACATTTGTCCCCGGCAAGTATCGAAGACTAGTACTGCTGCTGTTGGAATTTTAAACTAGTAGTCTTTCTAACTTATAATTTTGCTTCTCTCTGGGGATTATAGATCAGCAAATATTTTCGGCTTTGGCTGCTCTCTTCTTGTATTCGTGAGTTGAGTTGTATCGATGTGCTCCGTTTCACCTACCTGCCCGGTTCGTAGCTGTTAAAATGAACTGAGTTGCGTTATATCTCGAACTATGTTTTGAACGGTTTAGGAGTTCATAAGCTCATAAAGTTTTTAACACGACTCAGTTTTGTTTAATTTTCTATTCGCTTTTAACTCAAGAGCTGGTCTGAGGAAGATTCTGAGGCAAGCGAAACGTTGCTTTAATACGAATGTATATAAAAACATATTTGTATTCAACATTTTCTCAACTTACTTATCACACGTACTGCTACTGTGTCGCATCTCTTAGATGTTTTCCTTTCCTGCCGACCTTGTTTTACCATTTGTTTTAGCTATACCGCGTGCACTGGCTTGGTCACTTCCCTCTTTTGCCAAACTCTTGCTTTTGCATTTACTGTTTATTGACCAGGCGTCCGATCGAATGAAACGTCGGGATGTCCAGAAGACTAGTCAGATTGAAACAGTCCGGTCTCCTAGAAGTGACTCTGGCCGACTGTACTGGTCGTTACTATTCCTATAATGCATCACATACCTAAGATTCCATTGATATTCTTGCTTTCGTTTTGGTGATTTTGGCTTCTTTTTCCATCGCTTTCATCCCCATCGTTTATACCTCTAGATTTTTTGGTTATCAGCGGTCAAAACGACCGGGTGCACGGGACCACGAGGTCGCTGAACTGATATCTAGTGCTCGTCGTTGCGTGCCACGACTACCGCTATTTTTCTATCTACGGTTCGCCAGCCCCGTAACCTTATGGCTCACAAGCCTGTCTTGTAATCTGTGGGCACAGGTTGGAGCCTGCTTAAGGGACCGGGTGACCCTCCTTATACCCTTAGCCCATGCGTGACTGTTGGTGGTTGCGCAGCAGCGAAGCATCGGTACTGCGTACCTACTGCCGATACCTTTTTCCTATCCATCGTTCTGCAGTTGCTTATCCCCATCTCCTAGGTGTTTACAGGACTTCGCTGGCCCTTTCATTTTTGCATTGACCTCTTTTGCACCACATATTTGTGTCATTTTAACTACACGGCTCCTGGTTTTTATCATGATAGCAGAGGCACTGTCTCTTCTATTTATGTTGTTAGTCCCGCAAGTCCTCGTTATTCTTCTTGTTCCCATTACACACATTAGTTCACATTGCTTTCTCGTTGCCCATCAGGTAGACCCTCACTTCCCCCAAGATCTCATTGCCGAAGTCCCCCCTATTGCATGCAAGGATCGCATTGCCAGCTGTGATGGGGGCGGAGGCGCTTTGGGACACCCCATAGTCTACATCAACCTGGCAAGTGCTGTGTCATTTTGTCGCTGTTCGGTTAGCGATTATTTTTACACGTGAGCTCTGCTTTCTTAGTCATTTTTCCGCGCTATTCGACAGTAAAGGAAGAGAAAGTAGCAGAAATATCAACACTTCACTGGAACAATCTATCCACACGTATCTGATTGCTTTGTTCCCGGCTTTTGCTTGATCGTTCCGCTCAGTAAAGCTGGCACTTACCTGTTCAGACTACCTGATATGAAAACCAGTCTACCGATGTGTTCTCACTACACTACTGGTTGCTCACTTTCGGGCCCCAATTATTCTTAACTCAGTTTCAATCAGCTTTATTGTTTTCCCATTTCCTTCCTTTCTCATTGTCGACCGCTGGGAGTTTGAACAGTTGCTCTACTGCAATTCTGCACCTGGTTCACATTTGGCGCACTCCACTGCATGGACCACCGTGTGTTCTGGGCAGCTTTGCTAGAGATGCATCACGTTTTTGTTATTTTCCTTAGGGCATCATCCTTGTCAACACTAGCCGAAACGTGGCTGTTATGTGCCAAACTCGGTCTCCAGGACACATGGCCGGGCCAAATATGACAAATGCTTTGCACTTACAGTCCAGACTAACGGGATGACATGAATGTCAACAACGGTAGCCCATCAGTGATTATGTGCACCCTTTAAACTACACGATTTTTCAAGCCACATTTAACTCTTTGTATATCATCTAGGACGCTTTTTAATCCCAACTGGTCGTTTTTCAAACCATACCGGACACTTTTTTGCGTATAACATCAACAATCTCTTAAAATGGAAGCATATAACAATGTTTAAAGCATTCTATCCCGCCGCTGCTGTTGACGCCGTTTCTCATGCTATTGAGGTCGTAATTCTCGAATCCCTCTTATCTGTACGTTCTTAGCGTCTGGTCGGGTTGATCAGCAGACGCTTCTCCAGCACCTTCACCTTTTAGAACAGGCTTCTTCCCGAGTTTCGCATGTAAGAGCAAGGCGACAGAAACTCAAGCCAATTAGACGGACACAGATTTCTCTCTTGATCCTCCGGCACGTGGATTCTGGCGTTGTTTGCGATTAGTCTTGTGCCGTTCATCTTCAACAACCTATCTGCACCACAAGCTTTTCATTGAATATGGAGAATTTCGTGCCCTTTCTGATGTCATCTTTGATGATCCTTGAATGAACTCCGTCGAAACGAGACTGGACCTTAAAACGTGGTGAGACGGTTTTCATACCTTTCGACCCATCGACTTTTACTGGTGGGATCCCGGCCCCTTGAGAGCTGCTCTTAACGGATTGGTCGGTGGTTGGAGGTCGGACAAACTCAATCTCCTGGTCCTCCATATTGGCGGTTGAAAATGGTATGGCGTCCATTTCTGTTAGCTCGAATAGTTGCTATTTTCCACCTGTCTTGCGGACAGGCCCTTAAGCAGCTTTTACTGACTAATCCTTTTTTTGCATAAGTTAAGATGCCATGGCCAAAGCTCACCCTACGTACAACCACGACTATTTCATCAAACTTCAGCCACATCCTACATGGGACGTCACACAAGTTTAAATGGGCCGCCTTGCTTGTTGTAAACAGCAACTCGATTAGCGAAAACATAGCACTGCTGGCGCCTTCCATTTTCCTATCTATTTCTCTTACTCCCATTCCGAACCCCACTAGTAATATTCCTTCTTTTTCCCTTTTTAGTTGACAATGGTTGCAATAGCACTGCAGTTCTGCTATCTGCAGCTGCCTAATGAGTCCACGTCCTCCTATCTCCCTGGCGACGTTCAACACTGACGCCCTAGGACAAATAGGCCGACAAGTTGCACATTCACGCACGTTTGACACACTGGGTATTGACGTGTTCTGTGTGTCCGAAATTAGGATCAATAATCCTCACCAGATTTTTGAACTAACTCTACCTAACTTATCCTTTTGCTTTTGGACACTGAAGTGCCACTTGGCGTCCACCTGGCGCTGGTCAGCTATGGACCCAAATACATCACGTTGCCATAAGTCACTGGGGGTGTTATTCCATTCTGGTTTGTTGCTCATTCTGGAATACTGGCGTCAATACTGATCATACTTTGCTACGCTGTCCTTTTCTCATGAACCTTACCGGGAAGCCCAGCCCACCGATTCCTTCCACGATTGGCACTGTAGTTCCCTCAGTAGTCGGCCAGATAGCTTACCGAACTTTCCCTATCTCTCCCTGAGGTCTGTTGTGTACAATAGTGTAGAATCTCGGCCGCTATGCACGACGCGGAAGCCTCTGCTTGCGGCATTATCATTCTTTGCCGCACCAGTCCCTGGATATCCGATAGGTTAGTGAACCTGTTGGAATACAGAAGAAAACTCCCCGCTGGTTCTGAGCACAAGGTGACCAGACGGAGTATTAGCTGCGAACTAATGCGGAGCCTATGTGCTGACAACGTAGTCTGGTGAGCCAGTAGGTTTCACTAAATGGAGGAGGCAGGAGCAGTAGATAATTATCACAAGCTCTTCCAACTAATCCGTTCTACTGCTCCCATGCATCAGTGAGACAACCAAAGACAGCATGGTTACCCTGACTCACAGTAAGAAGTGCTGGATGGCTCTTTGGGCGGAGCGCTTTCGAGATCAGTTCAGTTGGGTCTCTTCCTACTCAGGCAGTACAGGCTATGTCATGGCCAACCAGTTTAGAGGCTGAGGTTTGTAATGCGGTCACAGCTCGTAGTCGTCTTCCAACCGCTGATCCGGATTCCCTTGTGCTTACGTTGTTTCAGAATGGTGAGGTCATCTGCAAACCACTGACCTCCCTGTTCGGACGGGACTGGAAGGAAGAGACCATCCCAGCTAACGAGAGTGAAGCGATCATAGTGGCAGTCGCATCGACTGGGCTGTGCACCGAGGTGTTAGCCTATTACCTGTGGTGATCAAATTACTGACCCCAATTCTTGATCGTTGCCTCACTGCGAAGCGGGAATCCCAGATCGGAGAAGAGAAAGCAGATTTCCTCCTAGGACGAGGCTGTCTAGACCACATATTCCTTCTTCGACAATTGCTAGAACAGCGTAACGTTACCACAGACCGACCGCAACTGTGTTCCTGGAGTGCGTTCGATTCAGTCGATCGATGCATTCTGTTTGAAATACTTGATCGGAAAGGTGTTCCCATGAAATATGTGAACATTTTACGTGCTCTGTACCCGAACATTACAGGCCGCGTCTGGGTCTACGGTGACCTGTCGGATAGCTTTCCGACAACAAGTGGCGTTCATGGTTGTCCAATTTCCCCATTTTTGTTCAACTTCATCTTGAACTGCATTATGGTGTGTTCCCTTTCGGAACCTCACCTTGAGGTGCTGCCTGGTGGACGGCTAGTTGTTCTTGATTATACGGACGATGTTGCCTTGCTGTTTAATGATGCTGGGGCGACCCGGTAAATCCTAAATAGCCTCTGTAGAGCAGTCTCATCCTTCGGCATGCGCTCCCCCCTCTTCAAAATACGGTGCACTTGATGAACCATGGACTCTTGATATCAAGGAACTCGATTTAGTTGATTAATTCGCTTATCTTGGCAGCTGCATCGGCAACGATTGGCGCATAACTACTGAAGTCAGTTCACCTGTTGCAAAAGTTAGAACAGTCTTCTTGAATCTGTGGCGTCTGAAGTGGGTTTCTCTCGGTCTGTAAGACCGTGTTTGCGAGGCCACAGTGAGGACCGCCCTACTCTATGCGCGTGAGACTTTGTCCCTTCGGCTTGCCTGCGATACATTGTTGGTCTCGGGTGGCACCAGCTTGTTCCTAGGCTAGTACTAGTCATTGCTAATCAGGTTGGTTCCTTAGAACAACAGGCCGGCTGGTATCCTAAAGGTAACAAACTTGTCTTGTGATCTCTGACGGCACGGCTTCGAGCCTGCGTAGGGGCAGGTCGAACCTCGCAGTACCCTTAGCCTACATACGACCGGTCGTGGTTGCGGGGCAGCGAAGTGTCGGTACTGCGTACCGATGCCACCTTATTTCTGTACCGTAGGTAGTTGTTTATGACTGCATGTTGTTGACAAGTTGTAGGCGCCTTGACCTTAAATATTTGCTTGGGGTATTAAACTGTTACGCTAGGTCCCCCTTCTGTCCCTTTTGTGATTCTTCGTCCCATTGGCCATTGTGGTTGTACAGCAACGAAGCATCAATTCAATTTGCTGATATACTGCTTTTGAATGAGCTATGCCTTGGTCATTTATTACCACGGTTAGCGCTACAATGCGATAAGCAAGCTTGTGTTCGCGCGCGTCACTCTTCTTGAGCGTGATTACGCCCGTCCCATATTCTGATTTAATCTATTCTCTTCTATGAATATGCACTTTTGTTTTGTGCCGCGTGTACCTAGAAATCGAGTGCTTAAGCCTGTTAGTTTGCGATTTTTGCAACACTCCTGACGCGGTGGAGCTCGCGTTAGCATCTCCGAGTGTTTTGAATATTATGCATACTGCTAGGTGGAACTCATGCTAATTCAGCCGCTACCGTGTCTACATCCAGGGTTTCCCAGATGTCTTTAAACTACAAATAGCTGCATGATGACGGGAGTCGTATTCTCTCATTTTCCCCACAGTTTACTGTACATTGGCGCCTTTTCATATACAGTCATTGATGATGTTTTTTGGCGTGCTCTTAGCGACTTGATCAACCTCATGGATGGTTTTCCGCCGCCGAACATGAGCTGCATATTGACCGCTTACTGCGCCAAGGATGTCAATTTACACCGTCGCTGTATCGGAGATGCATCTTCTCGTCCTTTGTTTTTAGTCGTTTCCTGAAGCAGTAGGTTGGGATTGGTCGAGTCACAACTAACTGCACTGTTCTTGAATCCCACTTTTCAATTGATAATGATAATCACGCATCTGCACAGGCGCATACCCAATACACTAGAGCCGATTAAGTATCCTTTCCTTGCATGGGTCTGCACCAAACCCGCAAGCACCGAACGGATTGTTCCATGCAAATGTATTCGTAAAGTCCGCATACCATTCGATGCCTTACAGCCGGCCTCAGAGTACCCAAACACTGAAAGAAACCGAAAAATGTAGCAGGAA